ATCTGAGAGAAATTTTGGATATAAATAATTTCTGGAATTGTTTTCTTTCAAAGAAGTTTGTTTCTCGAGTACACCAGATTTCGAGATATTTTAAGAAACTCTATTTCTTACTTACTATTTCCAGTGGGTTAAAAAAATGTGCGCGAAGTATCTTTTTCGAGATCTGCCTGCCCGTTCTTCGTAAAAGAATTTTAATTGTCGTTGGCCGCGTATAGCAAGTCGGTAGTTCCATTGTTAATTCCGATGAAATATTTATACAGGAGAAAGATAATGAATTATGCTAATATAGAGAGTACCTTTATGCACGGCGAATGGTTAATATCTTATTAATAGATCAAGGATGAAATTGCATTAATTGCAGCGAATCACCGATGCAACAATTGTATTGGAAAATGTAGTATACCAAGTATATCTCTGTATTGCACTCAAAGTCCTTAACCCCTATGGTAATACTAGGTAATAATAACGACAGGAATTTTTTGAACAGAGAAAAGAATTATTTTTCCACGAAATACAAATATCTTTCCCGCATTCTAAACTTCCTCGATGCCCGATAGACCGTTCCGCGTAATCACGGTTTGGAACGGGACTGCGGTCAAAAATTACGATACCAGTTCCAACGATCGAGTGTTAAAAAGAAACCCGACGAAGCATCTTATCACCCTAACATCCCCTAATTTGAACAGATCGTTCGGCGAAAGGATAATGCATCGATGATATTTCCTGGTAATGCCGTAACTCGGCGATATAAATTCCACTGAATCATTGGTGCAAGGTTCGCGTTTAAAAATACCTTCCTACATGGCGAACTTCCTCGATTCGAGTACCGGAACCACTAATCCCGCGATTAACGTCGCAGACCGCTTCACGGTGCGAAGTTGTCTTCAGAGCGTTATTACTTCCTACGGAGATTACGAAGGCAGGGCTGGCGAGTCTCTTCCTTTCCGCGGTATCATTCGATAAAACAACAGAGAACAATGGAACGTTTCATCGCGGACTCTGCACATCGGACCGTATAATCAGATGAATCGGCGTGCAATAGAGCCAAGGAAAAAAGAAAATCCAACGAATTAAATGCCTGGAGCCTCGCAACCTACGCCCGCGCAACACCCATCCTGCCCCCATCGCGTTCCATCGTCGAAAAGCCAAGTCCGAGCTGCGGAGTCCGCCGATCCGGTTGAAAGTCACCCAGAAAACCGATCGATCGTGAACTTGCGGCAAGGCCGGGGTCATCGAAGGTCCGACCTTGACCTGGCGGAAGAGTCACGTAACGACAGGCTGACCGTGGGGCAGAGGAAGAAGGAAGCGGCGACGACGACCTCGGCGAGGCAGACACGAGGGAGAAAGTGTAACCGATCCCAAGAGCTCGAAATCGAAAGTAATTTCCTCCATCCCGCTCTTTCACTCCTTTCTCCGTTCCACGGTGCCCACGACGATCATTCTTTCTCCCAGCCCGTAGATTCAGGTCAAGTTCACCGACTGTGTCTGTCCCGAGAGCTGTTCTCTCTCTCTCTCTTTCTCTCTATCTCTGTCTCCCTTTCGCTCCTTCGTTTTCCACGCAAACGTCTCTCTCTCTCTCTCTCTCTCTCTTTCTCTCTCCGCCGTTTTCTTCTCTCTCGCAACGCGATCGACGTCCGTTTCCCTTCTCTCGCGATTTCACCTGCGTCGCGGATCACGGCCGCGGTTTGTTACGTCAGTGTCAATGGCACCGCGCGATCCACGGAAGCGCCACGAGACGGTGCGAACTCAGGTAAGAGTTACGCGGTGTCCGCGCGGTTCGCTGAACCGAATTCCCCGGTGGAACGCGAGGCAAGGTGAACCCGAGTGGAAACGCCGTGTCTCGGGTGTCCCCGCGCGCTCCAGAGGGGCCAGCGACTGCTTTACGGCGCCCCCTATGCCGCTCCGGGGATGAACTTGCCGCGTCGCGAATACGTTAGGGGACACGCACGTATACTTTCGGTCGTGGCACTGCCACGTTGGAATCGAGAAGGCGCGACTCGAGGTGTCGAGTGGCTCCCTGAGCAACGTGAAAGCCGATTCATAAGCGACGCCGAGATTAACGACGAAACCGAAGTCCCGGAGAAGCGTTCCTCCACTCGCGTGCACGGATCGTGTCCAGATGGCGGGTTCCTCGAGAGTATTCTGGCTCTCGTTTCATTTTCCTCGCGAAATTATTCTGTTGTCGTTATTCGTTATTAGCCACGGGTAAATGAATAGCAATTGCGTGGTAATGTATTGGGTAATTAGTTGGAAGAGTGTACCGTGGATACGATGCAAGGATCGGTGACAATTGTGTGATTCTTGAAGAAGAAGCGTAAGAAAATCTTGGAACAATTGACTACAGCTTACGTTGATCGACGATAGAGGGACGCGTATCGAAAATACGTTTCTCGAAAGTCTACTAGTCCCTTTCTTACAAGTACTGCGCTTTCGAGAAAAGAAAGCACAGCGAGTTTTCATCCTCACTGACACTCCCATAATCACAGGCAGTGTGATCGCTGACACCGATGATCTTCGTCACCGTTTTCGGTCAATAGTGGTCGTGAGGGTGTAAATACGCTGTGCCTTCTTTACTCGAACGCACAGTACAGCACAGTCCTAGTGGGCTTTCGTATAGGTTCTCAAAGCAGGATCTATTAGGGTACAACCTCGTTGACCTTATAATAGGCTCCAGTCTATGCGCAAAATCAGATCTACCATTTATCACGGTTCAATATTGGGTGTGAGAACTCGATGCAACAAATGACGTGCATCGATTTAATTGCGAATTAATGACGTTCGCGTGAGAGGAAAATGAACTTGAGAGAATACGGAGAATAACAAAAATTCTCAAACTCGACACGGATAAGATTCTCGAATAGTCTCGAAAAAGTCGAAGACGCGTTAGGGAGTCGAGTTTGCGAAACATCGTACCCAGATTGGATCCCACGGGGAAATTCGGCGATCGTAAACTAGAAAGAAGTACCGAAAGCTTGGCGGGAGAGCAAACAAACAGAGGGACCGCGCGAGAAGAGGGGGACGAATTCGCCGGAAGCTGGCCTTCCTACACTCGTTCGAGTTTTCTCGGAATAGTTTTACGAGAAACCGAGCCCCGATCCTCTCGATCTCTCGTGGAGCTCGCGGTCACGCGTCCTCTCGCGTTCACGCGCTGACCGATAGTGAGTCAGCATGTTAGAGATCCCAACGGCATTGACCACTCCGTCCGGCGAATATCTCGAAACGAATTGCCGGACAGACCTTAACATAATTCCAACATCGTCCTCATATACCGGATACGCTGTACCACGAATCACGTGACGATATACCGTAACGTGGTGCAATTAAGCATTCGAATATTTCAGACTCGTGTGCTCCTGCAACGGTCCAGCCTACTCGAAAATCCAGCCTCACTCTCCCTGCATTCGAAATATCGGTCATGGACCTCGTTTACGACGTAATAAAACGGTACCGGATTAAATCGGAAGTCCCTCGATCTTCATCAACGCGGTGCTATAACTTCTGCCATATATAAACGGTTCACCATATACGCCAAGCAAAATCACGCTCTACTCTTACATTAAAAAAAAAAAAAAAAAAATGGAATTCAAACCTCTGGAAATTGTCTAATAATCTCTAGCAGCGGTTCCATTACTCTACCGTTATCAAATCGATCCCCGGAACGGTCAATTCCGACAGTCACGACCGCGACTCGATCGTGTTCGAGTCGAAGGAGAACGACTCCGCCCAAGATAAGCAGATGCGCTCGCAACGACGTGCGGAGCGCGAATGCGCGGCACCGGGCGCACACCGCGACTCCTGCGCCACTGCGCAGCGCCGTTTGCGCACCGCACTTGTACCGACTCTACGTAGCTCTTCTTCCTCGTCCTCTTCCTCGGCGGCGCGCCGCGACACCGACCCTCGAGGACTCGCCGCGACCGAGTCCAGCTACTCTACGAGAAGATGCATCGCGTGCGTCGAGAATTCGCGTATCCGACGAAAGAAAGAACGCGCGAGAGAGAGCGCGAGAGAGAGAGAGAGAGAGAGAGAGAGAGAGAGAGAGAGAGAGAGAGAGAGAGAGAGAAAAGGGAAAACGGAAAGGAACGCGGTGCGCGAAAACGCGACTATCCTACATATACATGGAGCCAGGGTCTGGAAAAAAATGAACGAGTGACTCGCACGTACGCGCGTCAAAGTCCTACGGATACACTAACTCGGTGGTTGAATTACCACAGAGAGAACGAGAGAGAGAAAGAGAGAGAGAGAGAGAGAGAGAGAGCGAGAGGGGGAGAACGACTATAGCAGGGAGGCGAAAGAAGAAGACGAACGAGATGAGAGAAACGGAGAAACGCGGGGGGACGGAGAAAGAGGGAGAGAAACGGAGCTAGCGATGAGAGGAGAGAGGGGAGGGAGAAAGAAGAGAGAGACTAGGAGCAGGAGTACGGGAGAAGAAGAGAGGATGCTCCGGTGTAGCCGGCGGGCACACATCGGCTCCTCTCCCTCGCCAATCGGCGCGCGCGGCGTGGGGCGAGTTTGAGGTAGGGGGCCGCACGACGCACAGCGGTGGTGGCGGTGGCGTGCTGCGGCGGTGGCGGCGGCGGTGGCGGCGGCGCGGCTGCCAAGGTATTTAAGGTACCGTGAACCGGCGGCGCACGAGTAGTTCACTTCTGTTCGGTGCGGTGTCGCGGTGATTTTGAGGGGACAGAAGAGAAAGAAAGGGAGAAAGAGAAACAAGGGGAGGCCGGGAAAACGGGAGAGAAAAGAACGCGCTCGGGACTCGCACACGCTCGAATCTCGAGGGTGCGTGAGGGCAAGCGAGAGAAATAAATTCGGTGTGCACAAGCTGGACCCTCCGTAAACCGGGAACGTTGCGCGTTCGATCGGTAGTTTGTAGATCGCGACGTACGTCGTACGTTACGTCTCGGACAGTGACGAGGTTCATCGACTCGCGCAACAGTTCTTCATCTATCGGGGAGATCTCGAAATCTCGGCTTGACCGCGACGAACCGTCCCGACCGCGAGATCGGATCCGATCGAACCGGCCGCGCTTGCATCCGGGAGAACACGTCGCCGGACAGGATCGTCGGGGTCGTCTGTCGTTGACGACCGTCCTGGATAGGTAAGTCTCATCTCTCAACAGTGCGGAGTATTCTTAGTGCGATGAAAAATACCGACGAAAGGGTGCTATGTAATTCTGTGTCGCGCACGCACCGTTCCACGCAACGCGTACGCCACGCTCGCATACTACGGCCGTATCCTCCGATCTGGTGATACCAAGTGATCAAGATCAGTGATTCTGTTGCACTGTGCTCTCGCTCGCGATCAAACGGACCACTCATCTCGTCGTTCTACTGCTCTCTACCTTGTCGTCCTCGCCGTCCTCGCCGTCCTCCTCGTCGTCGTGGATTTTATAAACTTGTGACTAAAGAAATTTAATATGTGCCTCGACGCAGGGATAATACGTTCTGATCTCAAAGTGCTCTCACAACGGAAGTACACGTACGGCTTGTGCGCAAGGGACAGCAGATCTTCGAAGAGTAAGCCTCGTTCGTCTTCGAAGTGATACGGTTATAGCCTTCGTACGCGATCGAACGAGAGTCTCCTCGCGTCGAGCAAGGGATCGATAAATCCGCGTCGAGTGTAAAATCACCGCCGATCCAGATACACCTGTTACGTATCGCTTCGACTCGTGAGAACGTAACAGGAGTATACGCGTATACCGAGCTGGCTGGGCCCTTCGCGTTCGATCGTTTCGTTTCTCCATCGATCCGCCAACGCGGTTGGAAATGTTCCGAGGAGACGGAGAAAGATGACACGCGAGAGGGTAAAACCTCGGTGAACGGGAATTTCGACTTCGCCACGGGCAAGGATCGTCGAAAGCGTTTTTCCGGCGCGACGAGTCACGCGAGGATGGACCGGTTCGACTCCGGAACGGAGTCAAAGAGGCCCGGGCCTAAATAATTCAACGCGGCCGTACAATAGGTATGCGTGTCGACTTGCAGCCGTGAAGGCTAGTCGGACGTGCACGAACACCTCGTACAATTAAGAAACCGTGTCTGAATACCGAGGCAAACACCGCCGATACGTGAATACCAAGGAGTAGCCGGCGAATCTCCTACGACCCGTAACATCCGTGTAACCTCGCCGATCGACATTACGAAACCTCGAAATCGACAACGTCGATAGAGACGAAATATTTTTCCCCCACTCCGCGGAGAAAAGAGATCGAAAGAAAAGGAAAATGCAAAAGAAACTAGTCTCGGACACGTTCCGATTGCCGAGAAACGGAAACTATTCGCGAGAGGTAAAGGATAATGGGGGATCCAAGGGATCCAGACCGAGATCCGATCGTTCGGTTGGTCCTGGAACAAAGGGGAACACAGTCGAAACGGTATCGATTTTCCCGTGGCGGGTCTGCCGCGACGGAATATAAAACAGGGTCTGCAAAGGTAGAACGCGCGCGCCAGTATAATGAGTCAGAAGGAATTCCAGGGATCGGAATAATGGATCGTTCCCGTGAGCGACACGCCGGCAGGAGAACGAAAAATGTAAACTAGGAGAATCTATAGAGTCGCACGGGGCTCCTTTGTATCCCGTCGGCGCAAACGCGCGTGAACGAGCCTCGAATTCCTGCGGTAAATCGAATTCCCGATGTCGCGGGGAACGGCCAGGACGACGATGACGACTGCCGAGGAGGCGTAATCGGCGTGACGTCGGGGGCCATCGGCGAGAGCAGAGATTAAAGTGCAAAGTTAGCCGGGGCTCTCGTGGGTGGCGCGGATCCTGGCCTCGGCGAGTTGCCCGTCTCGAGGGATCCTTCTTCGGGAGAGAAACGATCCTGCACCCCTCGTCGAGGATAGAGAACGAATTCGTCACGGTCCAAGTACCCTGATGAAGTTACGATTGCATTATGATCCGTGATCACGACGATGGCGAGCGTGCGCGTAGCCGATCCGTTGCGTCCGTGAATCACCTTTTCGCCAGGAAACGCGGGCTTTCTAATCTAGCCATTTACTTTGCTCCTACGCTCCCGTATAATAACTACGATTAATTACGCGACGCGAGTTATCCGCTAATTATCGCCGACCGTCCAGCCATCCCGGTGTTTCTATTTCACGCCTATGCCACGAGTTTTGCTAGCCAGCGTTACGTGTTCGCCGAGTTCGATAACCGAGCCCTATCAACGGGTCCCTGGGCTAGGACCGAGCAGTTTAGCTCTGCCTAGTTACTCCTGCCGATTTTTAAGTTCCCGATCAGTCGATATTTTCTATTTCGCTTGGACACCGAGTCTTATCGTACTTCTTCGCGAGGCTCGGCCGTTTTAATCGGTAGACAGAGAGAGGGTACCCTTCGAACAGGGCCTCGATTGCCATCTTGCCATTTGCATGAGCATCTTCCCCGCGATGGAAGGCTCGCGTATTCGTCGTACAATACGCTGATTACCTGGCTTCTTACTTACGGCTGAACCGGCTAATTGCTAATTACCAAACGCTAATTACCGAGACCATCTTCTGGTCGTGTGTTGCACAGGGGCAGCGGGGCCAGTGTGGCCTGCCTTGTTAGGCACAGCGACGAAAATGAAATAGAGTAATGGAGTGTAAGCAAGAAACTATCCGAGGCACGCGATTCGCGAGCAATAACCGTGGAGAATCGATCCTGCAGGGTAGCTTAATTGCGATCGATCGCGGAACACGGAGAGGGAGATCCTTTTTGTGCAAGCCGATTTCGTAGGTGTACACGTACGCGTGTATGCGCGTCGTGAGCGAACCGAACGGTTGGTCAGAGAGAAATAGAGTAAAAGATGAACACGATAGGAAGATGGGACCGTTCTCGTTCCAGAGAGAGAACCTTTCCCGTGGCAGGTTTTGAGCTAGGTGTGCCACGAATTAATTGTCCACGGTAATAGCCGGCTGGACTACAGTTGGCCGTAGCTTTTTCTTTTCTTCGCTTCGAGTTCCCCTTTCGCTGAGGCGAGCGTTACTTCTTGCTCGCGCGCAGCTCTCTTTCGTTCGCCGTTAAGTTCGTTCGGCTTTGCAAACCTGACCAACGTGAACGATGTCGCACAACTTCTTGGCACGACACGACGATTATTACGCTTCGTCATAATTTCCTTTCTTTTCCTTTTTTATTCTCCACACGGCCCGTTGTTGTCGAATAACAGCGGTGCATGCACGAGACCAGCGATCGTCAGCTTATCGTCAGCGGGAAGCCAGTTCGAGGAATCGAGAGACGTCGACGTTATCGCAGTGAAAGTCCCCACACGAGCGAGACAGAGGTCGTTGAGCAAGAATCCTTGCTCTGTTATGCGCGTGAGCCATCGCGGGCCTGCGTTCGGGTCCTCTCCGCTTGGCCGACCGTTTCGATCACGTAGCAGGCCCACACGAAACGGTAAAAACCGAGAGATGCGGCTCGTGTCGCGCCACGAATTCGGGTCGTGCGACCGACAGGTCGTCTCGGTCCGAAAAAAAGGCCCAAACCTCGATCGATGGAACCGTCCGCGACTATTCCACTATTCCGCCAACGACGTCCGACAGTTCTCCAGTCGATACATCGAAATTTAATTATCGAATTCCGATCGGGGCCAATACCTTCGCGACCCAGACTCCGGCTACCTGATCCTCGCGATGGGAATCTCGAAAACGTCTCATCTCCACTCGAGCATCCGTTCAATCGACGTAACTACGCTTGACGCGATTAAATGTAAATGCAGCTATTTTACTTCGGGTTCGACAGGTTTAATTTTGCCCGTTATTCGATGAAGCATTCGCGAGTACCTGGTATAGGTGGAAGTATATTTAAAGTTTGGTTTAATGGAACCGAGAAGAGCCAGGGATCGATCGTTACAAGCGGACCCCAAAGTGTCACTGAACGCTGGTACATGGCGCAAGATGGTGGGGGTTGTTCGTATCCCGTTTGACGAACATGGCCAGGTTCTAGGTCTTTTGAACGTCCGACTATTTAGAAGCGATCGAGCATTAAAAGAGGCAGCGCTTCCTATCGGCCAGGTCGCAACGCTATACGGCGTTTCGAGAGAAAAGGAACAGCATCGCGAGCGAATGGTCCGCCGGGCACTGGCCCGGTCGCTATTGAAAAAGGGCCATTAAAAATATCGAGCACGAAGACTCGACCTATCGGTCCGTGAAATCCTGTATTCAACGCGCCAAGGCGGTTCAAAAGAGGCGATCAATTATTCATTCTCCCTAAACGTCCGGCAAAACCTACGAAAATTCAAGCCAGATCCGCGGGGATTCCCACCGATGCCCGCGAATTCTCTTTCATATCCCACCAACCTCCTCGTGAATATTGTCTAGGCCTGAAATTTTATTCCTCGACGAAATATCGAATCTTTTTTTTACGAAAATACGCTTTCCCTTGATAGGAATATTTCTGCTTGACGTACTGTACGTCATGCCAACTTTCGATACAAATTTGTGTCATTGCGTTATCGATTTAGTAACTTCTGACTTTTTCTCCATTGCAAATATTTTCGCAATTATTAGAAAATCGAAAAACTTTTTAATTTCCCGACGTCTAGGATCTCATTCTTCCATAAAATCCGCGCGTAAAGTGAATCGTGGAGTCTCCTGCAAATTTTTCAAATCCTCGTTTAATCTCACAGCCATTTTGCCCATTTTTCGACAACACGGACCAATAGAAATATCGCGATTTATCGTTCGAATTTTCACCGCCGATTACTTACGAAATTACAAAATTCTTGCATAAGCCCGGATCACGGAGTCGAATCACCTCCCGAGGATTTGAAAGTCGGAGCCGGGAACGGTACAGGCCGACGACGCGGAGTCGTGGAAGCCGGGGAACAATGGGGGTTCAGAAGGCTTCTTTCAAACTTTGGAATCGACACCGATCACGTTCGAATTCTATTCGCACGGGGCTTGCGGTACCGACAATGCGACCACCTCGTATTCCAGGCACGCGTGCCTCGTACACGAAGTGCTAATTCAACGTCACGCCTTGTTCCCCGTAGCCGAATCTTTCAAAGAGACCAGCTCACGATACGCTCCTCGTCGACGGCACGGTTTCCTCCTACGATTATCGCGGAATTTGGATACGCGCGGGTTCGCACACGTGAATGCGAATGAACCCGGCCGTGGACAAAAA